TATGAATCAAAATTGACTTGATGGCAACTAATAGCAGCAGGCAGGTATGAAAATTAAAGAAAGTTGTTATTGTTGTTGTTAAGTGCCGTGGGGTCAGTTCCGACTCATAGCGACCTTGTACAGGGTTTCCGAGGCTGTAAATCTTTACGGGAGTAGAAAGCCTCATCTTTCTCGCGCGGAACTGCTGGTAGTTTTGAACTGCTGACCTTGTGGTTCACATCCCGATTCATAACCACTACGCTACCAGAGCGCCTTAAATAAAGTGTTTAGAGAAAGATATATGTTATTCTTACTCATTTAATAAATAAATATTCTAGTACCTACTGTGTTGTGTACCAGGTATTGTTCTAGACACTAGAAGACAAAGTAAATAAATTGACAAAAATTCTGTCCTTTTTGAGTCTAATTCTAGTGGCAAGGACCAAACCAATGAAAAGGAGCTAAATGTATAGTATCAAATCCTGACTCACTAAAAACACCACCAAAAAAACTGGTGACATACAAGACTAAGTGTATAGTTTATAGTAATAAGGAAGATACTGTCTCAACAAATCTCAATGTTTGGGTGAGAAGGGCAAAGTCCAGATGTATATTTAAAGTGAATCTTTCCCTGGGGGAAGGACTTGATTAAAATTGGGAAATACTCATGATAGAATAGGTTAGGATTCTTTGACACAGCAAGGTGAGGGTTTGGGGGTTTTTCAAAAAGCCTTGGAGTTGTTATCAAACTAAATCTTCAAATAGATACTAAATCAGAAGTAGGTTTAAACAGATTTTTCAGATGTTACTGAACTGAATAATATTGTTCTGTGCAACTTTTAGATTCCTGGGTAAGAGCTGCTCGGGATTGTAATTAGTGAAATATGGATGTTGTTGTTGTTAAGTGCCATTGAATCGGTTCTGACCCATGGCGACCCTGTATAGGGTTTCCAAGGAGTGGCTGGTTGACCTTACAGTTCAAACAACTTTGCAGTTCAGTGCATTAACCCACAGCACCACACTGGGACTCAGAAACAAGGATAGTAAAAGCTTTGTAATGCAGAGTGTGAAAGACTAAAGTATATGAATGTGGACATTAGCTGTGGATTATGGCTAGGTAGCTCTGGTCAGTTCTCAATGGGAAAAAAGCAGGGGGAAAACTCGGGAGTGTGTGTGGGAGTGTGGGGGATGGGGGTGATGGGTGTTTGCATTTTCATGGAATGATGAGGGAATGCCTCATTAGAAAAGGTGTTGAGTTAAGACTTGAAGGAGTGAGCCATACTGGGGCTCCAGACAATGGGAATAGCAGAGGTTCTAGGCAAAAAAATGGGGTCGCTATGAGTCAGAATGATCTCGCTGGCACTAACAACAGTAACAAGGCAAAAGTATGCTTGGTGAGCTCCAGGAAATACCTAGAGGGTATTGTGGGCCAGCCTCCAGGTCGTTCCTGGAGGTTACCAAGCAGTTTTGCCTTGTTATTGTTGTTGTTAAGTGCCAGTGAGTTCATTGGCGGAGTCCTGGTGTGATGCTGTGGGTTAATGTGCCAGACTGCAAAGCTGTTTGAACTGCAAAGTCAGTAGTTCAAGCTCACCCGCTGCTCCTCGGAAACCCTATACAGGGGTTGCTGTGGGTCAGAACCGACTCCATGGCACTTAACAACAACAATAAATTGTGGGTAGGACAGTAGTCAGCAGTGAGATCAGAAAGATAAGGGCCTTGCCTTTGAGTGAGCTGGGGAATATTAGCATGTCTACTTTAGTTTTGAGTTATTTGATGCAGTGTGAAAATTACTTTGTGGTATTTTAATTTGGTGAGAATTCTTAGTGTGGTGGTGTAGGATCAACACTGGATTGTGAACCACAAGGTTGGCAGTTCAAACTCACCAGCCACTCCTTAGAAACCCTGTACAGGGTCGCTATGAGTTGAAACCAACTCAACTATACATTATAACATCAGCCGCATTGATGTGTTGTAGTTAATTGCCAGTGAGTCATTTCCAACTCATAGCAACCCTGTATAGGGTTTCCAAGGAGTGGCTGGTGAGTTTGAACTGCCAATCTTGTGGTTCAAACCAGCCTTGTGATGGAGTTCTTATCCAACAGACAACACTGGCGCTGCGGGCTAATGTGCTGGGCTGCTAAGTCGCTATGAGTCAGAACCGACTCAAAGACAGTTAACAACAATATATCCTATATGATAAAACTTTTTATCAAACTTTTAAAAGTCCATTGTGTGTTTTTATTTATAGTATCATCAGCTAAAGAACTTATCCCTGGGGACCTTTGGTTATGGAGAAAATGAAGACAATAAAATTGGCTTAAAAGTTTGTAAAAAGCATTATAAGAAAGGGACCATGCTTCCTTCTAATGAGACTCTGAATATTGACAGCGATGTTGAAAAAGGTAATTATTGATGATTTGACTGTTATCATTGCTGCGGTAAGAACAAAAATACCCCTGTGCATTGACAACCCAAATGGAACAAGTGTACTTTTTTGAGAACTATCCTTTTGATGTAGTCACTTTAACACTGACCTGCACAGCTTTGACTCAGGAAACAAATTATCTATCTGAAAAACAGGGTATCTTTAACGCAGTTTCAGGATTGTTGAGTTTGGGGTAACATAGGTGTTTTCTGTTTGCTTAGGTTTTCCTCCTATGAAGAAGTGCTTAGACTTTTTGAAAAAAAAAAATAAAAGGTCTGTATGTATTAAATAAAATAATGTATGCAAAAATGCTTTCAACACTTATTTGTCTTCATTGTAAAACATATAAATGTTCAAAAGTGAACTGTGATTAGCAACTCATTTTCTCTTTTAAGAAGATTGCTTAGCAAAAAGTTAATAGCTAATTAAGTAGATTTCCACCACTCTGCTAAGAATATAAAAGCACCCCATATGTAAATACTAAGGGTTTGATTTAAGACATATGGGGTTTTGTCATTCATCCAACAAACCTTTGGTGCATACCTGCCATACCCAAGACACTCCCTGCTTTCTGTACTGTTATTGCAAAGATTAATCAATATTGTCTCCTTAAGAAGCTAACAGTTCAGGAATGGAAGTTCTAGTAAGCGCAATGCCTTCAAGTTGGTTCCAACTCATAGTGACCCTAAAGGACACAGTAGAACTGCTCCATGGAGTTTCCAAGCCTGTCAGTATTTACAGACGCAGGTAGCTTCAGCTTTCTTCCACAGAATGGTTGGTGGGTTTGAAGTGCTGACCTTTCAGTTAGCAGCCTGATACTTAACCCACTGTGCCACCAGGGTTGTTTGAATTTGGAATCATTTCATTAAAATGAAAATATCCCACAGTTAATTTGACCTATTTTCTGTCATCTGATTTTAAGATACCTTGATAACACAACAGGAGAACACCTGTAAGACAGAAATTCTATTTGGTCTCCATAGAGTGCCTGTTCAGAAGCTCTTCATGAATAAATGTGTCCGATGCTCTTGGCTCCATCAGCAGCTTCTGAACCAGAGCCATCAGCGACTCATGCAGAATCTTCCTGCCAGATTTGGTCTTGGTTCTAGGGGATAAAGTGTTGGTAGTCTTATTGTTCTGGAGACTTCTGTAATCCTGAGTTTTGTTGTTACCTCTCTGACCTGTTGTTAGGTGTGGAGTCAGTTTCAACTCATAGTGATGCTGTGTATAACACCACAAAACACCGCCTGGTCCTGTGCCATGCTCACAATTGTTGCCGTGTTTGAGCCCTTTGTGACAGCCACTGTCAATCCTGTTCCTTGAGAGTCTTCTTTTTCACTGACCCTCTACTTGACCAAGCATGATATCCTCCTTCAAGGACTGGCTTCTCTTGATAGCATGTCCAAAGGATGTGAGGCAAAGTCTCACCATCCTCACCTATAAGCACAGGTACATTCTAGCTAGCTATATTTCTCCCAATAAGGATTTCTTCACCCTTCTGGTAGTCCACGGTATATTCAGTATTCTTTGCCAACACCATAATAGGTAGCCAGCCTACAGGGACAATCCTGTTTCAGTCTCAGTCTATACCTGGTGCCTTCAGCTGTGTTCCAGGAGCTCTGGTAGCATAGTGGTTACAAACCTGGTAGCATAGTGGCTGTGAACCGCAAGGTCAGCAGTTCAAAACTATCAACTCTTCCATGGGAGAAAGATGAGGCTTTCTGCTCTTGTAAAGATTTGCAGCCTTGGAAACCCTGTACAGGGTCACTATGAGTTGGAACCGACTCCACGGCACATCACTACCACCATCAGCTGTGTTCATCCCTGTGGGTGGTTCTTTTATAATACCTTAGATAGGAGCCTGTGATAGGTGAGGCTGAAAGCTTGTCTAATAACCCTCAGCTTCCGGTAAGCTATTGGCCCCTTGCCATTTAAAACTGGGCAACTTGATCCATTAAATGACTGTTTTCCTGTCATTCATATGTTGTTTTTCTCAGTTAACTTTCTGGAAAAATCAAAGAAATCTCACCAAAGTCAACACAGGTGAATAGGTAAGACAGACAGTGCCAGAAAACAGGTTTGATTTCCTGACCGTGGGACAAAGGTGCCCTGTTCCTTTCCTTTCAATTAGAATATGGAATTGTTTCAAATAAATAGAACTTGATTATTAATTTGACTTTATTGTTGTTGATTCGGTTCTGACCCATAGCGATCCTATATAGGGTTTCTGAGGAGTGGCTGGTGAGCTTTCAGCCGCCGACCTTGTGGTTCAAACCAACTTTGCATTCCAGTGCATTAACCCACAGTGCCACACCAGGACTCCAAAATGCTGACAGCACCTGACATTCCCAGGTGGTCGCCACCCAAGTACTCACCAGGCTCGATCCTGCTTAACTTCTGAGATCTGAAGAGATCAGGCATATTCAGGGTGGTAGAGACTGCTAACCAGGTTAAATGTATTCCTTGACTTATTAGATATAGCTTATAGAGAGTCTTTTGATATATCCATTCACAAGACATAAAAATATTTCTTGTCTTGGACATATTTAAGGATGTCCTCTGGTACTGTAGTGGTTACAAATTGGGCTGTGAACCTTCAGGTCAGCAGTTCGAAACTAGCAGCTGTTTCGCAGGAGAAAGATGAGGCTTTCTGCTCCTGTAAAGATTTACAGCCTCAGAAACCCTGTACAGGGTCGCTATGAGTGGGAACAGACTCCACGGCATGTAACTACCACCACCACCACAGATGATTTAAATAGGAATTGAGTTGTTACAGCTTATACTTTATAACCAAAAGATTGACAGTTCAAACCCACTAGCCACTGCCAGAGAGAAAAATGAGGCAGTCTATTTCTATAAAGATTTATAAGTTAAAAAAAAAAAAATTACAGTCTTGGATACCCTATGGAGCAGTTCTACACTGTCTAATAAGGTTGTAAGGAGTCATAATCAACTAGATGACAGTGGCATTGGTTCTAAAGGAGTCCTACTGGTTCGGTGGTTAAAGTGGTTGATTGCTAACCAAGAGGTCAATTGTTCGAACCCACCAGCTGCTCTAGGGGAGAACAATGAGGTAGTCTGCTTTCATTAAAGACTTACAACCTTGGAAATCCTATGGGGCAATGCTACTTTGTGCTGTAGGGTTGCTATGAGTCGGAATTAACTCCACAGCAATGGATTTCATTGTTTAGGTTGGGTTCTAAATGAACTACTCATGAATCTTGCATTATCTATACCAGTTAGACTCAAAGCCGTTTGAACTGCAAGGTCGGTGGTTCAAGCTCACCAGCTGCTCCTTGGAAACCCTATACAGGGTGACTATGGGTCAGAATAGACTCTATACACTTACCAACAACAACAATACCAGTTAGAGAGTCATCCTCCAGTGTGCTGAATGAAGAGGTCTATCTGAATGTCCTGCTTTCTCAGTGGGTTGTTAGTTAGCAGTATAACTTTTGTGCAAATCAAGCCGAGTGTGTCTCTTAATTCATTATGTGGACATATCCCTCTAATTCCTGCCACCAAGCTCAGCCTCATAGGAAGGAGTCTATGAATCCTGTTAAAGAAGATAGTTTTATCAGCATTTTAGTGGTTATCATTCGGATCCAGGGTTTTGCTTACTGTAGCATATTTTAAACAATTTCTTCTATTCTCCCTTTAAGAGTTTCTTGACATCTCTCCATTTCATCATTTTCCCTGGTGTTTTAAAAACACAGTGTTCTCTCACAATGCGCCTGGTAGATTCAAACCGCTGGCCTTGCAGTTAGCAGCACAGTTCACAATCCACTACACTACCAAGGCTCCTTTGTTGTTTCATTTGCTAGAATAATCTGCTCTGTGAAATCCACCGAGTTTTGCCACTTACTCTAGATATCAGTTGTTTGAGGTTTGATGTTTTCCTTAGTGCTTGAAACCCTCCTTGTCTTATTTCATCCTTATTTTTAAATCTCAGTTTGTAGGTTTTGCAGCCACTAGGAGTTTAGCAGACTCAGTAAAAATGACTATAGTTTAAAGACTACAAGAGTTTTAAGTTTAGATAAAGAGTAACCATCATTTCAAAAAAAATCAGTACAAAAATTGACAATATCTATTTTTATAAGGCAAAATTTACATATAGTGATAATTAACAAACAAAATATTCTCTCTCTCTAAATCTAAGATTCATTACCAGGGCAAGGAGTTTTTCTTCATTCATGCCAACAAACTGCCCTGGAATCCTACTGAAATTCCTTAGCTCTAAGGTGATGATTGCTCATCTGTCTTGTTAAAAGGCTCCAAGCCTCCTCCTCCTCCTCCTCCTCTTCTTCATCCTCTTCCTCCTCCTCAGCCTCGCTCAGCCTAGGGATGACCTAGCTTCCTGGTTCACTGGAGAACAAAGAATAGAGGCAACCTCATCTTGCCGCCACATCTTTCAAGCTCTTTGCATATAGCTTCTTTCCACTGCTTTCCATTCTCACGAAAGAAGTCCAAAGGAAAAGCCAACAGTTGCCATCAAAACAAGATAGAAATAATACAGAGTATCCAAGCAGCACTGAAGAAATTGACAAAAAAGGATCTGGAATTGATGGAATTCAAGTGGACATGTTTTAGCAAACTGATGTAGCACTGGAGATGTTCACTCATGCCTGCCAAGAAATTTAGAAGACAGCTATATGACCAACCAATTGGAAGACATCCATATTTGTGCCTGTTCTAGAGAAAAGTAGTGGAATGGAACATGGAAAGCATTTAATATCACATGCAAGATAGGTCAGCTGTCAACATATCAAAAGTGTGTGAGATGATGTCTTGTCATCCTTCCTCCTAAGAAGCAGAGTGATTATTCTTCCAGGACAGCTTTGTTGGTGCTTCTGGCCTTCTGTAATATATTCAATATTCTTCACCTAGGACTTCAATTCTCACATCACTAAGCTTTCACATGATTATGAGACAATTGAGAGCACTTTGGCCTGGGTGTGGCCTGCCTTACTCTTTTCTGAATTTGAACCCCCCCCCCCCCCCATTCTCCCAACAACTGATTTTGGCCCCCATACAGGTGCCAAATATTCATAAATAAGTGCTTCAAAATTCACATTCTTTACAATGTTTCCCATACTTTGTTACAACACACACATTCTAATACTTTTGCATAATAAATAAAACGTCTTTCTGATGTTCTTAAAAAAAAAAAGCCAACAGTTAGAACTTCTGAGCACCTGGTCTCATCCCTTTCTCCTTCTGAGGAACCACCTCTTTTCTCTCTGGCATCAATATGCTAATGATATACAACTTTACATCTCTACTCTGAATTCTCCCCTGGGCTCTTTTTACTTGTTTTTTTGTTTTGCTTTGTTTTACCCAGAGCACTTGCCTGAAGGTACATATTTTTGTTGTTAAGTGCCATTGAATTAGTTCTGACTCACATGGACCCTGTACAGGATTTCCAAGGAGCAATTGGTTGGTTTCAACTGCCCACCTTGTGTTTCTCAGTCCAGTGCTGATCCTATGGTGCCACATCAGGAGTCCAAATTTACATACAACTCATCCTTTTTCCTCCCTCAGGTTTCAGGTCAAATGCTGTCATAACCTCAAAGCCCTTCTCTGACCACTTTGCCTAAAGTAGGGATACCCCACCTATGTTGTTGTTGTTAAGTGCAGTTGAGTTGGTTCTGACTCATACCAACCCTGTCTAGGGTTTTCAAGGAGTGACAGGTAAGCTTGAACAGCCAGCCTTGCTGTTCAAACTGTGCTTGCAGTCCAGTACTTGTCCTATAGTGCCATACCAACACGCTGCCCATATATTGTCCTTATTCACGTTCCCCTATCTTCACAGTTCTTCTCCCAATGTGAAATCATACTTTTGCTTACTGTTTCTCTCCCACACTAGAATGTAAAAGCCCTACAAAGGTACTGACCTTATCTATTGTGTCCATTGCTTTACCTTCAGTACCTAGCACAGAGCTTGGCCCATAAGGGCTCTTAGCAAATATTTACTGAATGAATGAATGACTTCGGGAAGGGGTCTCGACCTTTTGATGTTCTGAAATATGTACTCAGACATCAGCCTCATAAGCGTACTGTGTAAAGCTCAGGCTCTGGAGCCAGATACACGTGGATTTAAATTCTGGATTGTCACCAGCTAGCTGTATGACTTGGGGAAGTTTCTTTACCTCTCTGTTCCTTGTTTTCTTCATCTGTAAAATGGCAGCAATAGTACTTATTTCACAAAGTTGTTTGGAGAATTAAATAGGATACCTTAAATTGTTGGTGTTGTTGTTGTTAGGTGCCATTGAATCTGCACTGACTCATAGCGACCCTATGCACAGCAGACCAAAACACTGCCTGATCCTGGGCCAGCCTCACTACTGTTGCCACGCTTGAATCTATCGATGCCACCACCTGGCCAATCCATCTCGTTGAGGGTCTTCCTCTTTTTTCTGACCCTCCACCTTACCAAACATGATATCCTTCTCCAGTGACTGGTCCCTCCTGACAATATGTTCAAAGTATGAGAGATGAAGTTTGGCCATCCTGGCCTCCAAGGATCACTCTGGCTGCACTTCTTCCATAACGTATCTGTTGATTCCTTTGGCAGTCTATGGCACTTTCAGTATTCTCCTCCAACACCATAACTCTAAGGCATCAATTCTTCTATAGTCTTCCTTATTCACTGTCCAGCTTTTGCATGCATATGAGGTTATTGAAAATACCATGGCTTGGGTCAGGCGTACCTTAGTCCTCAAGCTGACATCTTTGCTCTTCAACAATTAGAGGACATATAAATTCCATAGTACAATATCCAGTACAGAAAATGGTAAAGACATTGATATTTCATACTAAACCATAATACTCTCAATTGCTCAAGACTCAAATTTGAATTTTTTGTTTTATTACCACTGCTTCCACCATAATCCCATAAGAGAGTCTGTACAGTTTTGCTATTTTTATGATCGCCAGATTTCTCCTTTTTCAGAGAGCACGTTTCTCTTGGTTAACTTCTCTGTCGGTGTCAATCAAAGTTCAGTCAGGAAAGCCAACACTAAATTGTTTCTTGATGCTAGTATTTCATTTGCCAAACAGAGCGACACATTTCCTCTGAAATCTGCCTTCCGATTTTATTGTGCCTGTTGAGTTGCCTCTTGAACTCTGTGCACCCAGTTTGGGCCATGAAAGCCCAATTTTCATATTGGGGTATAATTTGAGTGCCAACTGTGTGCTAGGCAAAGAGTGTTTAACAGTATGCACTGTGTGTTTGCCTTCAAAGATCTTCAAGTCTAGTTGAAGGGATAGATAAATGAATAGAGAATTCCAATTGTGGGGTAGAAAAAAAAAACACTTAAAAGAATTTGCCTACTAAGATTTCTTGAGCACCTACAGAGTGCCAAGAAATCTTAGTATTTCTTAGTATTCTGTATTCTAACTCAGTGACCCAGTAGCAGAGGAGAACTGTCCCCGTAGGGTTTCTAATCCCCATAGTAGTTACGAATCAGGCTGCTAACCTCAAGGACTGTAAATCTTTACGGAAATCTTTACAGAAGCAGGCAGCCTCATCTTTCTCTCACTGACCAAGTGGCTGGTGGGTGGATTTTGCCCCAATGTCTCCATTTTTAAGGTAGCATGAAGGAGAAGCAACACCTGTGTGAGAGTCAGCTCTGTCCTGTGTCTCTCTGACCTTGGGAGGTATTCACCTTGTCTAGACCACCTCTTGTGTCCTGCCCTGTTCAAGTGCTTGGGGTTACAAAATAATTAAAGCTAATTTTCATGTGCGTCTCTAAGAATCATTCCTTTATAAATTGCAGCTCATAATTTGTTTTATTTGAATATAAGCAAAGCTCTTTTCCTTTTATTATGAGAGACCGTTAGAGGATAATGGAAAAATAGCACAAAAATGTACTGTGCGTACTTCAGATTTCCCAAATGTTAACATTTTACAACATTTGTTTTATCATTTTTCTTATGCATTTCTTCAAGACAAAGGCATTCACCTGCCTAACAGTATACAGCCCTAGTGTGGCACTGTAGGATAAGTACTAGATTACAAGGTCAGTTTGAACCGTAGGTTCTGCATTTCAAACTCACCAGCTGCTCCTGGAAAACCCTACACAAGGTCACTATGAGTCAGAACCAACTCCATGGCACTTAACAACAACATTTTACCACATTTGTTTAACAATGTTCTTATGTATTTATTCAAAACAAAGACATTTGCTGGCATAACCAGTACCCAATGTATAAACTTTGAAACAACATTGTAACCTATAAAACCTATTCACCGTTTGTTGATTGTCCTAATGTTCTTTATTAGGATGTAGCAGCTGCTGTTCATTTGTTGCTGTTGCTGTGGTGCTGATGGTGGTGGTTCAGGATTCCACCTATGACCACACATTGCTTGTATTTATCATATATCTTTGTTGTGGAGTCCTGGTGTGGTGCTGTAGGATAAGCACTGTACTGCTGGCCAGAAAGATAGCAGTTCAAACTCACCAGCCACTCCTTGGAAATCCTATACAGGATTTCTCTTAATCAAAATGGACTCAACGGCACTTAACAACAACAACATCTTGATGCTGTTGAATCAATTTTTGATTCATAGTGAACCCATGTAACCGAGTGGATCCACCTACAGGGTTTTCAAGGCGGTGGTCTTCATGGAAGCAGATCACCAAATCGTTCTTCCAACAAGCTTTTGGGTGGGTTCGAACCACTGACCTTTCAATTAGCAGCTCAAGGCTTAAACTTTGTACTACCAGGATTCCTTCATGTTTTATGCCTCTAATCAGGAGCAAAACTAGCATTCTTTTTACTTTTATGATTTTGACATTGTTGAAGAGTAGAATGACCCTCACTTTGGGTTTGCCTGTTCCTTCATGAGATCATGCATGTATGGCGCTAATATGAGTACTGCACAAGTCATGTTCTCAGTGAATCATATCAAGGGGCACATGATGTCTGTTTATTTCATTACTGGTGATGCTGACTTCCATTGTAACTGTAAACTTACTATGATTCCCATTGTAAGTAATAAGTATCTTGAGAGGAGAAACTTTGAAACTGTATATATCCTGCCTCTTAGAAGTTTTTGCGTACTAGTTTTAATGTCTGATTCTTGCCTGAAACAATCTTATGTTCTTTCATTGCCCCAGAGTGTATCCACTTAGACCTTCAAGTCCTCACCAAGAACTCTCAGGACTGGAAGAACTCCTCATTCTTCAGACTGGAATTTTATAGGTATGTCAGTCTTTAAGTCTCCTATCCCAAATGAGAAGGGAGTAATGTGGTAGACTATGACTATTCAATGCCTCCTGATATGTTTCTTTAGGCTCTTAAAAGTTGACATCTCCTTTCACCTCAAAGGCATTGACCTTCAGACGATTCGTTCCCGTGAGTTACCAGACTGCTATATCTTTCAGAATAAGGTAATTGTTTTTGTTTTACTATTAAGGAGCTCTGGTAGTGTAGTAGTTACGAATCGGGCTGCGAACCGCAAGGTCAGCAGTTCGAAACTACCAGCTGTTCTGTGGGAGAAAGATGAGACTTTCTGCTCCTGTAAAGATTTACAGCCTCGGAAACCCTGTACAGGGTCGCTATGAGTCGGAACCAACTCCCTGGCACATAACAACAACATTATCTTTCTCTTTGCTGTTTGTAGATGCAGAATGTAAAGCACACCAGCCTACAGATGTATTATTACATGCAGTTGTCATTAAAATTGTTTTAATGACACTTCATAGCCCTGAGGATCCAAAGATAATTAACTTCTGTAAATGAATATGCGTTGCTATGAGTCTGACTCAGTGACACTTAGTAGCAACACATATATAGAGAGAGTTTCTAAGGAGTGGCTGGTAAGTTTGAACCACTGACCTTGTGGTTCAAACTAACCCTATGGTCAAGTGCTTATCCTGCAGTGCCACACCAGGAGTCTCTCTCTCTATAGATAGATAGATAGATTACTTGTCAGAACTGTTTTATATATCAGTAATGTGTTTGGCGCTGTGGGTTAATGTGCCAGACTGCAAAGCTGTTTGAACTGTAAGGTCGGTGGTTCAAGTTCACCAGCTGCTCCTCAGAAACCTTATACAGGGTCACTATGGGTCGGAACCAACTCCACAGAACTTAATAACAACAATGTGCAGTACAAGAGACTTCACTTTGTGGGGAGAGTGATAAAGCTTTATTTATTAATGTTTAATGAGGGGCTAAACTGAATGCTAAGCTATAATTGTACCTAAGCATCTTTTAAGCAATTCAGAAGGGTACTTCATTTGACAACATTCCATAAATAATAAAGAGAAGTCCCTACTATGCGCCACATATTTTGTTGTGCCCTAGAGAAACACATGCACCACAACCGTGGGCTCAAGCATACCAGAGATCACGCACATGGCATAGAACCAGGTATGTGCTGTTATACTTAGGCTGCAGTGAGCCAGAGCCCACTGAAAGGAAACTAACAACAGCAACAGAGAAACAGCAGCCCTTAGGAGAGTACTTCATTGGCTAGAGGAGGGTAGACATGTGTTCACTTGAGTGAGAGGGAAGACAATATACAAGAAGAGAGAGACTGGCAGAAGAACAATGAAGATGGGGAAGACACAGGGAAGAGAGCAAGAGTTAAAGGGAGTAGAGGTAAATACTGTTACACAAAGTAATTACAAGTTGTCATGCTGTAGTATGACAATTTGTAATTACTTACAAATTACACATAGTAATCATGCTAAAGAATGATTTCAGCAAATACAAGCATGATAAATCACCACAGGGCAGCAAGAGGAACACAGAAATGATCTGGATGAACAAGGAGAGAGGCAAGAAAGGCGAATGGAGGAGTGAGGTCAGCAGTAGCATAATCATTTATGGCTTTATGGGACGTGGTAAACAGTGTAGATTTTTTTAAATGGCCTTTTTTTCCTTTTCTTTTTTATCTGCTTTAAAATGGTGTCTACATGGCCTAGACAACTTGCACTTGACTAATCTAAAGGTTGATAGTGTGAATCTACCAGTGGTATCACAAAAGAGAGGTCTGGTGATCTCTGTCCATAAAGATTACATGAAACAAACCCCAGGGAGCATTTCTAATCGGTAACACCGTGAGTTCCAATCAACTCAGTGGCAGTGAGTTTGGGGCATTTTGGTTTTTATTTACTGCATTATAAAAACTTGAGAGAAGTATTTTAGGGCCTCTCCATGAGGAATTAGCTATCGTGAGAGTTGAGGTATTGCAGGGATACGATCCTAGCTTATAGGTATAAAAACGAGAGATCCATTGTTTAATTCTTAAAATTCTGATTTGGTTGTGATGAAAGTGTTGGAGTAAACAGTATATGCTCTGTGTTCAAAGACACTCAGGCACAAGTGGGTTTGACCACAGGTCACTTGAACATTCATAATGTGAATTTCATAATGTGTTCGCCCTCAAAACCACTTAGCAGGGAGGGGAGAGTAGTTCCCTGGCTAGAGGGTAGACACATGTTAGCTCAGGTGACAGGGAAGGCAATATATAAGAATGGGTAGGGCAATATACAGGAAAGGGAGGGTGGCAGAAAAATAATGACTAGGTGAAGA